ATACAGCTGTGATGGGTAATTACTGTACGGGTGTGATGGATAATTACTGTACAGGTGTGATGGAGTAGGAGAGTTAATGACTGGTCCCATTTTTTACATTTTTGGCCGAGATGGTCTCCTTCAGCGCCTTCAGCAGCCAGCACATCTGCTCGTTCATTCCCACATATTCCAACATGGGAGGGGATCCACAGAAACTTGATGACTCTTCTCTGATTGGTAAGTACTCTCACAGCTCTCTTAATTTCAGCGACTATTGCAAGATTTTCTGCCCGATTTTTACTTAGGCTTTGCAGTGCTGCTTTTGAATCGGTGCAAATCACTGCACCATTAGTGTTCCGTTCAAGAAACCTTAACGCCATAACAATGGCAGTTAGCTTTGCTTGCGTTGAAGAGGCATAGTTCTCAATACGCGCTTTTTTTCATTGCCATTTCATTGATGATGATCTTGCATGAGTCATCCTCCCAGGGAGGTAACCTCTCTACAGGCAGGAGCTCACGGGCTTGCTCAAGCAGGTGAAGATCTTCGAGGTAGCAGACTGATCTGTGATGCCATTTTTTGCTTCTCCTGTTTCCCCCTGAAAGTAGCACAGAGCTCAGTTTTTTTCATTGTAATGGGGATCTTTGGCTATCCTAGTTGCAAGCTTAGCATTCAGCTCCTTAATTCTGCTTTTAACACTGGGAAGGGACAACTCCTCTCGTAGATTAGACGTTTAAGATAAGACACTCGCCTGGCGTTCCGCGAGCGCTTTGTCATGGGTTCATATCCTGGCCGGGGAGGATTTACTGGACGCAAATCCTTAACTGTAGCCTCTGTTTAACTCAACAGTAAAATGTGTGCAGGCGATGAGTCACAATAACGTGGCTGAAGTATGTTGACCAGACCACACACTAGAAATTGAAGGGACGACGACGTTTCGGTCCGTCCTGGACCATTCTCAAGTCGATTGTAAATTCACTGATGATTTTACTGATTCAGTAAAATGTGTACTTGGTTGTAAATAGACACTGCTTTCTCAAAGCGGTGAAGTTTCTGTGGGAAGAAAACGTATTACTAAGAGTTGAGTCTAACCGCCTAAGTTGCGCGCGCACCGAGCGGGGTACTTAAAAGCGCACCCACGAACTCTGCGACCTCTTGTTCGCCTCCTCCCCAGCTGCTACGCTACAAAACGCCCACCCTCCTCCCGGGATCCTCTGCATCCCCTGTTTACTTTCCAAGGGAAGACGCTCAAGCAGGTTTCTGGGGACACTTGTTCGATCTTGCAACTAATTTGTGTTATCTTTGGGGGTACTCCACCGGAACCCCCAAAGTGATAAGCCAAGAATACCAAGAATTGTAATTAGTGTAAATTCAAATAATACAACTTTCAATTACTAATTAGAGATGTAACTATTAACTGTAATTGATTTAATACATTATCATTATAACGCCTATCCATTAATATTATTTCTGTATAATAATTTATGGTTATTCACTAATCCTTAGTAGTCACCATAATTAATTATCCACTTTAATTATCTATTTTATTCGTTATAATTAGCTATTATGCTTCTTCATTTAAGGATTATCATTATAATCAATCATTTATTATTATGAGTATTATTATTAATTATTTATTTATATTTAATAATTAATTATTTGTATTTAATACTTAATTATTATTATTATTATAAAAATAAAATAAGTCCCCCACTCTATGCCCGTTTTCTTCCAACCGCAGAAAAAACGATTCTTCGCGGCGGGGATCGTATTCCAGGGACCTGCCCGAAACGCTACGCGTACTAGTGGCTCTACAAGAATGTAACAACTCTTGTACATATCTCAAAAAAAAAAGTTAACCATTTTTATGCACAAAGGATAAATATATATATATCTTACATTTTAACATTGTTATTAATAAATTTAGCTTACACAGATTTTAGAGAATAGGTGTTGACCTTCAAGTTCAAGTATGTTTATTGAGACAAGAAAAAAATACATATCAAAGGGGATAGAGTATTCTCTCTACACTCCATCACAATATTCTGGTAAACTGGTTGATTGATGAAGATTAAGCCACCCAAGAGGTGGCACGGGCATGAATAGCCCGTAAGTGGTGGCCCTTTTGAGCCATTACCTGTATCAAGAGCTGGTACTGGAGATCTGTGGAGGTGCGACTGCACCCTGCGTGACGGGAGATGTCTCCCGATATATATAAGGTACTCGATTGATTGATTGATGAAGATTAAGCCACCCAAGAGGTGGCACGGGCATTAATAGCCCGTAAGTGGTGGCCCTTTCGAGCCATTACCAGTATCAAAAGATGATACTGGAGATCTGTGGAGGCGCAACTGCACCCTGCGTGACGGGAGATGTCTCCCGGACCAAGTGGTGTCCAAATGGTGATAAGGTACTCGCATATGCTCTCTTCTTATACTTTATCATACATTGTTCATTACTTGCCACCTTTTGAACTGAGAGGATTAATTCATTAGCTCCCCCACCTCTTACTAATTTAATGGCAGAGGCTACATTTATCTCTGAAATTCTATCCCCAATATTCTTCTTATGTTCTTCAGATTCAATTCCATCCTCATTACATAAGAACGAAGGTAACTACAGAAGGCCTATTGGCTCATACGAGGCAGCTTCTATATATAACCACCCAATCTCACTCATATACATGTTCAACCCACGCTTGAAACAATCGAGGGATCCCACCTCCACCACGTTACGCGGTAATTGGTTCCACAAATCAACAACCCTGTTACCGAACCAGTATTTACCCAAGTCTTTCCTAAATTTAAACTTATCCAATTTATACCCATTATTTCGTGTTCTGTCTTGTGTTGATACTTTTAATACCCTATTAATATCCGCTTTGTTATGTCAATTCATCCACTTGTAAACCTCTATCATGTCACCCCTAACTCGAGCTCTGTCAATAGGCCGTTCTACCTCTTCGCCCTTACTTCATAACAATTTCTGTGTTGTAATGAAAAGATTTCATAAAAGATTTCTGTGTGTAAAGAGTTACACTATTCGAACATAAGAATTAAAAATAAAGGAAACTGCAAAAGGCCTATTAGCCCAAGTAAGGCAGTTTCTGTTGACACCTAACCAAATTTGTACGTCTAACTAATCCAACAAAACACACTTATTATATCGCCCCGTAATTTATTCCATAAATCTAAACCCATTTTCCTAAGCCAGGCTGAGAAAATATTTGGAATAACGAAAATTTACAATGAATCTGGCAAGACAAATAAATGGGAAATAAGCAGGAATTTGATGCGCCTCCTAATCAACGAATTGTAAAGGTTCTTTGTAGGTAACAGGGCAGAGGCTGCTTAGATTAGTTCCTTGCCCAGACCAGCGAAGTTGACGGGTTCTGGGAAAGACCTCAGAAGGAATTGCTGCAAGTGACACCGGGCATGTCACATGTTATAGCCTAAGTTACTCTATCCTATTAAATTATCTCCTTAAATTTACTTGAACTTTGCATGCCACATGTGAAGATATATTACGCGGGATGAAGTATTAATGACAATTAAAGTTGGGAAATGCCCCTTAAGAGGATGGATTAACTTATGAAATAACAATGACTTTTTTTTTTTTGCAGGGCTATTCCTGCGTGGGCCCTAAGCCTCCGGCTGGCCTACTAAGTGTTGCTTATTTCTGTTTTACTTGGGCGGAGTATGAGTATTTATTACTCGTATGGTCGCTTCAATAAGATTTTGCCATATGTGTTTAACAACTTCTGCTCTGTTGAAATCTTAATGGGTTTGTAACTGCACTGTGTTAGAACGGGAGATGTGTCCCGGACCAAATGGAGCGATTGATTGATTAAGATTAAGCCACCTAAAAGGTGGCACGGGCATGAATAGCCCGTAAGTGGTGGCACTTTTTGAGCCATTACCAGTATCAACAGCTGGTACTGAAGATCTGTGGAGGAAATGGAGTGATGAGGAAGATTGATTTGATTGATGAAGATTAAGCCACCCAAGAGGTGGCACGGGCATGATTAGCCCGGAAGTGGTGGCCCTTAGTTATTATTCGCCACTCTTATATGCTCAGGCAACACCTCACCGTTCTCTAAAGGTTGACAGGAATAGTATGTGGAAGTTGGGAAAGGTTTGAGTTCCATAATTAGTACCAAGAAGAGCTTTGCTTCTCTCATTAGGCTAATGCGTTTGGAGCGAGTATATTATTGGGATAATCCACTCGCTACAAGATCATCAATCAATATTTGTTATTTGCTATCGTTAGTGAGAATTCAGTTGTAAACTACTATCACAGCTTTAAATGTAGATATGGCAAAAGCTAATAGGCTCTAGGACCTAAACACCAGTCAATAAAGGGTTGAGAAGCGGGCCCAAGAGCCGTAGTTCATCCCGATAAATAGAGTGAGGTGAGTACCTGAGGTAGAACAAAAGAAACTTGACTCATTCTGACCTTTAACACATGTCTTAAGATATGTATATTCAGCGTGATTCATACAGTGCTATAAGTCATCAAACTCGAAATTTTGGTCTGTATTTTATCTATAAGTTGTAAACTACCTTAGGTAGAAAATTCCTAAGATATGAATGCATAAAAAAATCAATATGGCGGCATGTTCAAATGTGTCCTTGGCGCTTTCACAAGTGGGAATGTTCTGCAGGAACTGTACTCAGCCTTCACTTTATAATGATACTAATTTGAATTTTTATATTTTTACTCCTATCTACTATATTCATCATGGAAGTAAATATATTCTTAACATAAATATTTTACAATATAAATGATTCAAAATAAATCATAAATATATATGTAAACTTGGTAACCGAGATTAAGAGAACGGTCTAGCCTCAACTACACATCTCAAGTTATTGAGCTACAATAAATATCTTATTACTAAATATTTAAAATAACGTATGAGTATCAGTAAAATGAACGAAACTTAGAGATGTTGAACGAAAGTGAGGGATAAAGAGAAAGATCGGGAATCCGTGCGTGACGTCAGCGCTTGGGGCCCCGTCGAGTGGCGCCATCATTCGCTAGCCAGGAAGCTCAGGAGTAGGACGTACGGGACGGGGGTCAAGATTTATCCCTCCTGTAACTCTGCGATTAGAGTTGATATTCCTATTTCATATATTGACATAGGCTAGTCAACTCATACTATTTTCATTTACCCCCAGATTTGATTACGGCATTTGATTTTAAGGTAAAGTATTCGGCGGAGAAGGCAGGCAGGCAGGGACGCGTAATGGCCCCCCTTCCACTGTGATTCTCGTGCAGTTTTCTCCCTTTTGTGTCCACCTAACAGGTTTGGCCTCGTTGAGTTAGCCATATGTTTAGTTATCACATGTATACACATCTGAGGAGACATGTATACACATCTGAGGAGCTGGTGTAAGTCTTGGAGTCTGAAGCTTGAAGTGAAGCAGTACTGTGCCTTGAGGGGGGAAGGGAGGGGGAGGGGGGTCTTGTATTCTAAGGTATACACTGGGACACTACTGTATTTAGGATGTATCCATGTATACTGCATATTAATATTCTTGAATTGGTTGAAGGTTGGCAGGAGTACTGGAGCCGGAGGCGACTACCGTGACGACTACCGTGCTGGTGCTCGGGCCGGCCCTTGTGTTAAGTGATTTACTGTGACTCAAAATTAGAAACTTACTAGCTGGCTTCACTACCCCAGCTAGCGTTACTAGACGATAACTAGCCTCGCCACGACGTGTACTCGAGGGGGCCTTACAATGTCTTGGAAGACGTCGGTGGAAGTCTGCCTGGCGGAGGGCGGCGGCGGCGCCATGACACACCGGCCTGGCCACACCTATCCGCCATTGTCTGAAAAGTTATATATTCCGCTTGAGCGATTATTTTGACGGCCGTACTGATGACTTTGTTAGCAAGTGGTTCGTTATAGTAGGTGTACGTTGTCTCAGGGTCCGGTAAGGGTGGGGGGGAATGTCTGGAGGATCAGTGTAGAGGGAGAGGCAGGGAGGGTTGTGTGTACTAGTGGTGACGTGGGCATGTGGCCAGTAGTGTTGTATAGGGTGATGGCCACCAGTGTAGGGGTCTGGTCCCCCTCGTGCCTCTACGTCGCCCCCCTTACCATCCACCTAGGCCTCCACAACACCCACCTAGGCCCCACAGTATCCACCTACACTACCCACACTAGGTCTTTTTTTATTATACAAATTTGGTAGATGAGAAATCTGAGAATGTTGCAACGCTAACCTCGCCATGTCTGATATCTCCCCCCCTTCCCTCCCCCCCCCCCACACCCGCTCCTCACCCCCCACACCCGCTCCTCACCCAACCCAACAGTCCCCCCCCCCCCACACCCGCTCCTCACTCAACCCAACAGTCCCCCCCCATCTCCCCCACTACTTACCCCCCTCCTATGTCCCCCCCATCCTGCCTGCCGTCCCCATTCTCCGCCCCTTACTCCCCCCCCTGTGTCCCCCCCCCACTTCCAACCGTCTTCCCACCATTACCTCCCTCCCCCCTTCCTCCCTCCCTTTCCGCCCAGCTCTTCTGAACGCTGTTAACCCCCTCCCCTCTCCCCCTTTCCACTTTTGTAAGGTGGCTGTCCTAGTCGTTGCCTCCCTCTACCTCTCCTTTCACTACCCCTCTACATCATATCGTATGCTTGCTGTTATTCTTTTGTAGTCTTCTTGGTTATCCACTTTTTTTTTCAAATACTCGTTCCACCTCTATCCCCTACTCCCTCTTTCATCCCCTTCATGCTGTGGTCGAATTCTTTCTTCTGCACTCATCCTCCCTTCCTTCTCCCCTACTACCTCTCTTCCCTTCCTCTCTCTCTCCCCCCCTCCTCCCTTCCTCTCTCTCTCCCCCCCTCCTCCCTTCCTCTCTCTCTCCTCCCCTCCTCCCTTCCTCTCTCTCTCTCTCCCCCCTCCTCCCTTCCTCTCTCTCCCCCCCCTCCCTTCCTCTCTCTCCCCCCCTCCTCCCTTCCTCTCTCTCTCCCCCCCTCCTCCCTTCCTTTCTCTCCCCCCCCTCCTCCCTTCCTCCCTCTCTCTCCCCCTCCTCCCCTCTCTCTCCCCCCCCCTCCTCCCTTCCTCTCTCTCTCTCTCTCCCCCCTCCTCCCTCCTCTCTCTCCCCCCCTCCCTCCCTTCCTCTCTCTCTCCCCCCCTCCTCCCTCCTCTCCTCTCTCCCCCTCCCTCCTCTCCTCTCTCCCCCTCCCTTCCTCTCCTCTCTCCCCCTCCCTTCCTCTCCTCTCTCCCCCTCCCTTCCTCTCCTCTCCTCCCTCCTCCCTCTCTCTCTCTCTCTCTCTCTCTCTCTCTCTCTCTCTCTCTCTCTCTCTCTCTCTCTCTCTCTCTCTTCCTCTCTCTCTCTCTTCCCCCCTCTCTCCCTTCCTCTCTCTCTCTCTCTCTGTCCTCTCTCCTCGCCCCTCTAGGGCGCCTGACAGCTGGATGGACAGCGCTACAGACCTTAGTAGTCCTAAGGTTCCGGGTTCGATCCCCGGTGGAAGCGGAGACAAATGGGGCTAAATATTTCACCCTGATGCCCGTTACCTTGCAGTAAATAGTACCCTATAGTTACAGCTGCTACGGGCTGCTTCTTGGGAGGAGGGGGGGGGGGGGTAACAAGGAGGAGGCCTGGTCGAGGACCGGGCCGGGGGGATGCTAGGCCCCGAAATCATCTCAAGATAACCTCCTCCCTCTCTTCCTCCTCCTCCTCCCTCTCTTCCTCCTCCCTCTCTTCCTCCTCCCTCTCTTCTTCCTCCCCCTCTCTCCTCCCTTCCCCCCTCTCTCTCTTTCTCTTTTTCTCTTTCTCTCTTTTTCTCTTTTTTTCTCTTTTTCTCTTTTTCTCTTTTTTTCTTTCTCTTTTTCTCTTTTTTTCTTTCTCTTTTTCTCTTTCTCTTTTTCTCTTTTTCTTTCTCTTTTTCTCTTTCTCTCTTTTTCTCTTTTTCTCTCTTTCTCTCTTTCTCTCTCTTTCTCTTTCTCTCTTTCTCTCGCTTTTTCTCTCGCTCTTTCTCTTTATCTCTTTCTCTCTTTCTTTCTCTCTCTCTTTTTCTCTCTTTTTTCTCTCTCTCTCTCTCTCTCTTTTTCTCTCTCTCTTTTTCTCTCTCTTTTTCTCTCTCTCTCTTTTTTTCTCTCTCTCTTTTTCTCTCTCTCTCTTTTTCTCTCTCTCTCTTTTTCTCTCTCTCTCTCTTTTTCTCTCTCTTTTTCTCTCTCTCTCTCTCTCTCTCTCTCTCTCTCTCTCTCTCTCTCTCTCTCTCTCTCTCTCTCTCTCTCTCTCTCTCTCTCTCTCTCTCTCTCTCTCTTCTCCCCCTTTACCTCTTTTGTTTCTACCTCCCCTTTGCCTCACGCATCGCTTGTGTATCTTTCTCAGTCTATTACCATTGTCAATTATTTTTACCCCTCCCTCCCCCCTTATTCTCTGCCCTCCTTAATTACAGCCGCCGTCTATTTAGGCAGCTGCAAGATTATCCCCGCCTGTGTGATCAGTTCCCTGCCGGCTACCATGTTTAGGCAGTGGTCACCCATCTACACCCTCCCCCATCCCCCAAAGCATATTTAATTTTTCAGTAGCATGTGCGCGTGTTTCTATGATCACGCATATATATCTCGTCTCACCACCCCCTCAATACTCCCTATGACTTGCTTTCTGTATACCCTCGGTGTTTTGCTCCCCTTTCTGTATACCCTCCGTGACTGTCCTCCCCCCTCCCCCCCCCCCGTTCCCCGTACCATTACTACCACGTACCATTACTACCACGTACCACTACTACCACGTACCACTACTACCACGTACCACTACTACCACGTACCACTACTACCACGTACCACTACTACCACGTACCACTACTACCACGTACCACTACTACCACGTACTATTACTACTACTACGACCCCGTTCCATCCACCATTACTTCTCCATACTATTGTTACTTGCTACCCCCCTCTCCCCATTACCACAGTTTCTTGCCTCCCCCTCACCCCATTCCCACAGTTTCTCCCCCTCTTCCCCCCTCATTTTCTTGCCTCCCCCTTCATGACATGGCCAACCCGCCTTTCTTGAAGCCTTACATGAGCTGCCTCCACCTCCCCCATTCCTTACAGTGGTTGCCTCCACCTCCCCCATTCCTTACATGAGCTGCCTCCACCTCCCCCATTCCTTACATGAGCTGCCTCCACCTCCCCCATTCCTTACAGTGGTTGCCTCACCAATCTCCATATCCTCCATGACTGGTCTGCCTCTTCACACTCCCATACCTCCATGACTTGTTCAACGCGTCACCACAACATTCAACCTTCCACAGTTGTGACGCACCCACCCTTCCTCACCATTCCTGCCCCTCCCCCTCTGCAGGGAGCCGCCTCCCCCATTATTCCCCCCTTCCCCTTTCCCCCGTCCAGTCCCTCTTTAGTTATTTTTCGTACATTCATAATCATCCAATAAGAGCTTTTTTCCGTAATTAATGTATTCTACTACTTGATTTATACCAAAAATCCACAACATTTTCTCCCCCCCCCCCGTCGTCACCCCCCCCCGTCGTCAACACCTTAGCGGGTTTGTTAGGTTCGGGAATACGTCCTGTTTATATCTAATGTTTTAACGCTTTCGTCTGCCTGTGTAGTCGAACACGGTAAATCGTCATATATAGTCATAAGTGTGATAGTTTCGTTGTATCTAGCAAGGTACCTAGTCTCGTTACGCTGTAAGTTGTGCACACACACACAACTGTTGCGCCTCAGGTAGAGAATCATCAGTTACTCTTGCCACAGGTGTTGAGAATAAATCGTTGGGGACGTAGAATTCAACGGTTGATATTAAAGTTGTCGGTTGTGTGACTGGTGAGGACTGAAGTCGTGACCATATTGCCTTGGGAAGTGAATTGTTCGTTTTCCATTCTATGTACAATAGTTGCACGTTATCTTGCCATTTCCGTGATCAAGTTCAAGTACGTTTGAGACAAGAAAATACCCCCTCAAAGGAATACAGTAGCTTTGGCTGTTTCTACCCTTCTGTAATGGCCGTCTCAGCTTTAGTCATGTTTCGGTATACAACGGACCTCACCACGTGGTCTTGTGCCCCCCTCCATCCCCCCTTTACCCCCCTCCAACTGCTCAGTTCACAGGGGACCCCTCACGGCTTCCGCAGCCACAGCTGCTCACCCTCCCTACCATCCCTCCCGCCATTTGATGCTACCTGCCTTGACGACCACCGTCCTTGTGGCAAATGTCGGAT